GTTGCCTCATTGGTTTATCTTATGCATGTTGGTGAGTTGTTGTTTCCTTTTTTATAACGGTGCATATATAGATTTGATTGTATCAGGAAGAAGCCAAAAGGTCTTTTTGTCTTTTGGAAAGTGTGAAGGAGAACGGATATTTTAAAGAAATATATGTTTTGAAAAGGCACATTTGTGTATGTTTGGAAAATGGAAGAGAGTAGTGGACTTAGTGAATTTATTTCCTAAGGAATTGTAATGTTATGAAAGATTGGGAACAGGGGTTAATGAAAAGAAAGAAAAAATTGAATCGCCTATAGCGTTAATTGAAATGGTTGTTTTCGAGAAAAGTTTATACTTATGTATATTTTGTACAAACTGTCACATTACTATCCTAGTATGAGATTGAGCATTCATGAACGTAGCTATCTGTAAGTTGTTATTGTTGAAGGCCATGTTGAGATCCCTACTGGATTATATGTTCATCCCATGTTGTTGAATCTTTTTCAGGTGTTGAGCTGAATGTGCTGCAAGATTTGGATATTCTTATCTGTTGGCCACGGGGCCTCTCTTGTATTGGCGGAATGCCATATGTGTAAAAGGGTTGCACCCTTCTTCTTGATTCGTTAATGATGTAAGTCCAAGGGCAATTTATTTATTACACACATGTTGTATTTACTTGCATACGAATGAGAGCAATGCTATTCACTTCTACGAGTTGAATATACGAGTTTATTTCCGCATATTATCTCTGTAATGAAATTAAGTAAATGAAATTGGTAATACTTCGAATAATAAAAAGTGGGGCATGACATCTCTTCAATTTAGTATGAGAACTCTCGGCCCTACAAGTATGTATATTTTGGTATTTAATATAAAAATCAAAAAATTATAACAATTCATAAATGTAATGATCATAATTTACTTATTTGTAGTAGTATTTCTGAAATGTATATTACTGTTTGTCCAAGCTACAACAAATTTTTCCTTGTATGGCTCTAACCAATTGGTAGTAACATACTTAATAGCTTGAGGATACATACTAAATTCGATCTTCAAATTGGAAAATTGTTCATTGAATTCTGTTTCTATTCTAACCAATACCAAAGCACTCCAACTATGCATGAACTTATCCCATTTATCTTTCGTCTCAAAAACCTTGTTGCACTTCATCAAAACATTCTTGCTAATATGCCATCTACATAAAATATTAGTGGCCATAGGTAGAACTTTTGATATGCCTTTCATCAAAGCCAACTCTCTATTTGTAATAATGACTTTTGGAAAAGTATTGTTCTCCATAATAGTACGCAATACGCTTAAAGCCCATGTATAGTTGTCCTTCCATTGATGACCAAGATAAGCAAAAGGAATTGAAAATGTCAAGTTCGTTGATGTTACCCCAACAATCTCTAAGAGAGGGACTTGATACCTATTAGTCTTGTATGTACAATCCATAATCAACACATATGGAAATGAATGTAACAACTTCAAACTAACCAAGTGTGCCTTAAACAAGTCAGTCACCATCTCTCTATCATCACATCGATGCCACTCAACGTAATTTTGAATTGACAATTGCCCCAATAGTTGTTGCATTTGTGATCTTCCCGCCCTCTGTACTACTCGATGTCGATGACGTGCGTTGTAGATTGTCATCATTGTTGTTGCATTAAAGGCATCCCTCTGTTTCAATGTAACCAATATATCTTTTGGTCGCACCATACTCTTTGACATGTTAATAATAAGGATGTTTCCTCTTTAGATAATTTGCCAGCAAATGAGTGCCCTTCAAGATGTTCAGCAGACGAATGATTGTGCATTCTGCATAAGACATGCAACATCCACTCATTATTTGTAGGTAAATTTTTCCCCCTTAATAGAAATAGACATCCAAACTTTTTAGAACTTGTCAACCTCAATCGTTCCCCCTTGATCTTCCTGTTATCTCTATAGTAACCACTTCTTTCACAAGTAAGAGTAAGTCTTGGTTTTCTGCCATTACCTCCCACATCTGATGTTTTTACAACAATGACAAATCTAGTCTTCCTCTCAACGTCAAAAGCTTATTTAATTAATGCTTGACGACTACTAAAAATCTAAGCATAATAAATACATTTATACGTCAAATTATTAATAAAACTCAATACAAATTAAAAATAATAAAAAATCGTATTCATTAAAAAAAAAACTTAACAAATCTCGTCTGTAATGAATTCATGACTGGAGTCTACTAATAATGCAGTGCTTGCGTTGTTGCAATAAGTATAAGTATAATCTTTCCAAGCAAAAAATATATATATGAAACTAAACATACGTGGCGATGAGTAGTCAAATAAATTTAAAAAGTCCGACTTTATATTACCGGAAATGTATCTTTTATTCGGCAGTTGGATATAGGAATGGCAACGGGGCGGGGCAGGGCCGGGGATCACCCTCCCCGTCCTCGATGGTAAGAATGTCCCCGTCTCTGGCCCCGATCCCTGACGGGGAACCTATTACCGTCCCCGTCTCCTAACAGGGATCGGGTTTCCCCGACCCCGAAATTTCCCCGGATCAAAAAAAAAAAAAAAAAGTAGCAACAACAACATCCTCAACATCAGTGAGGTGAACCCTGATTCCCTTATGAAAATCAATTGATTTGCAAATATCAAACTCCTATGAAAAATGTTCAAGTTAACATAGAACTAAATATTGATAATGCCATTTGTAAGGAAAATATTAGGTGATATTGTGGGTTATAGAGTTCATTTTAGTTTATAAATCATTGTAGATTGTTTTATGTAATGTACCTAAAATATCTACTAAACAATTAGATAAATTCCTCAATATTTTTTGAATTAAAGACTGGAGAATTGAATTCATAGTTTGTACTGCTGTACCAAACTAATTGAACTAAAGCACCATACACAACCATGAAATTTTTTTTTTGGTTGAGCACACAAATCTGAGTAGAGAGAGAGATCTAAGTAGAGAGAGAGAGAGAGATCCATCTGCTCAGATCTGGCGTGGCAGAGGGAACATCGTCGTCGTCGGAGGTCTCGGAGGAGAAGGAGGTGCCGCTCGTCGTCGTCGTCGTCGGAGGGTCTGATTCGGTGGTCTCTCTCTCTCTTTGCTCTCTGTTTCGTCGTCGTCATCGTTGGAAGAGGGTCTGATTCGTCGTCTCTGTTTCGCCCATCTGCACGTCCGCCATTGATCTTCATCACAGGAACTACACAGCAGGGAGAGAGAGAGGGAGAGAGGCTGAGAGTGTGATGTGAGAGAGAGGTTGAGAGAAGTGACAAAATAACCATAACCTAAACATATAATATATATATATACGGAGCTTAGTCGGGGATTAAGTCAAGGCGGGCCCGGGCCGGGACTGGGAAACCTAATTCCGTCCTCGGCCCGAAAATTATCGAGGATTTAATTTTTAATACCATTTTTGGCTCTATGGGAATAATCTTCGGGAAAAACCCGTTTCAATCGGGGTGAGGGGTCGGGTTCCCATCGGGCCGGGTTTAAATTGCCATCCCTTATTAGATACTAGACTTATATTTTTTGTTCAGCAGTTTGATACCAGACTATGTTATTTTGTTTGATTTCGAAATATTAAACAAAAGTAAAAAATCAACCTAAAAAATCAAAACAAAAACCTACCAAACAAATAAAAAAACTCACTATTTTATCTTTTTTTTATGATTCTTCACCACCGTTTCTTCATCTATTACTTTCTTTGATAATCAAAACACTATGATTTTCACTTTTTCAAAAAAGATGTGTAAAAGAAAGAAAAAGTTGAGAAAGAAAAAAGAGTAGGGATTGAAGATCAAGGGTATAAGGAGATAATCAAATATATTTAATTTTAATGTTTTGTCCTTAAAAGTAATTTCACACATGGATAAAATTGAACGAAAAAAAAAAACCTCATGGAGAGGTATAAAGAGATAAAGTAGTGGTGTAAGTAAAATTACCCAAAAACTCATACAGAGAGTGTAAAAAGGTAAAATAGTGAAACAAGTAAAATCACTCATAATTATTGTGTTGTTAAAAATTTCCACCCTTAGATACCACCATTAAGACAATTTACAGTTTATTTCTTTATAAATTAATAAAATACACAACATGACAATTTAAACTTTGTTGCTCTAGTAAAAATTTTAATTTGATTTATTTTTTTGGAGTAAATTTTACATTTTTATTAAGGTTGAAAAGCATTACAACTTGTATAATATAAGTAACGCTACAGGCTGTCAAAGGACACTAAGGCCAAGTTTGGCATGTCTTGAAAAAGACAAAAAATCACTATCCTATTTAAGTCACATCATCTTATTTAAGTCGCATCATCTCTCTTACACATCACTTCAAACCCAACCCAAACCCAACCCATATTTCATAAAAAGTCAAAAAATACACTTATTTAGATCATCCCAAACAACCCCTAAATTATCTCTTGTACCAAAATGGATCATTTGGCTATCCTTTGGAATGTAGATTAACTTTTTGACTATTTTAATCTGAAATTAAAAAATCTCGTTTGGAATAAATTTTTTTGTTTTTTGATTTTTGTGAAAAAAAAATAATAATTATGATTTAAATATAACATTTTATCTTATTAACTTTTTAACTAATTTTGTTTTCGACAATGCTACGTAGCTCAAATTTTGTGGCTCAAAAGTGACTCAAATAGTCAAAACGACGTCGTTTTGAGTACAGAACAACATAAAAATGGCCAAAACGACGTCGTTTTGGCCATTTGAGCCACTTTTGAGCCACAAAATTTGAGCTACGAGATATTTTCCTTTTGTTTTTTTGTGACTAAAATAACTAGAAAAGCCCATGCCAAACATAGCCTTGGTGTCAGGTCTAGCAAAAGGAAACAAATTTTCTATTGAAACCGAATGCAAATGAGATTAAAGAATTCAAGATACCAAATTCCCAAATTGCCTAGTTCAGGCTTTAATAGAACTAATGTTTTACATAAAATTTATATTTTTTACATGAAAAATAAAACCAAGACCCAAGATTTTTCATCAAAACATCATTTTTCTAAGATTTACAACCCAACAAAAAAATATTGACATTATGTCCATCTACAAACTGTCTAGAGTGCAAAACAATTCTAATCAACAGATGCATAATTATGAGTTTTACGCTGTCATTCTCAGTTCACAATAAAAAAAGGAAAAATAAAAATAAATCCTAGCATAATCCTACTACTATTAACATAACTTACTCCATATCATGTAGGCATAAATTTTAGAAGTATATTAGAGGGATTCGGCGAACTGGGGAGCCTCCAGCTCTAGCTCTTGCCTCATGATGCAGTTCATAAACCATTCACTACTGAAAGTCCATACCCCTTTCTTTGCAGCTGATAGTGCTTCCTCCATATCATCTTCACATGCCAAAAAGATAGTTTTTGATGTGTGATTTACTTTGTCCAATCCTCGAATGACCTGAACATGCAAGACAGGAAAAACCAATCGTCCATTACCTTGAGAAAGGAAACACTTCAACAAACAAAAAAAAGTGTTGGGTTCGATAAAGTGCATATGAGCACAACTATCTTATGACAGCCAGTTAAAAAATCATGAAGCATGTGGTTCTCTCAAGATGGATTAGACGGATACAAGAACTTCAATATGTTATTGAAGACAACAACTTGAGCTGCCATTCAAAACTGCCCAAAACTGCTATGGTTAGTGATGAAATCAAACAGAGCACATTTTCTGGATATAAACAAAAGAAGGCTAGAGTCCTTTAAAATTTGAAAACAAAAAAATATGGAAACAGCTGTGGTAAAGAAAATTTTGTCAGACAGGTCTAAGCAGCTCACACATTGTTTGCACTTCACATGAATTTACCCACCAATTGAAGTGTCTGCTTAAGTATGTCTATTTGCCTGCTTATATTCAGTATTGTTTCAGGATAAGTTGCAAGAAGGATCTAACAAAGCATCTCACTGCAGCAGAAAACTTGTGACTATTTTTCATGAATGGTTGAAAATAAAACTACCATACAGTCATCGGTTATGGCTTACCTAAATTTCCATCTTCCCTTCTCTTTGGTACGAAGTTACAATAACTAATATTTAGATGTTGAACTAAGTGTAACAATTGTCAACAATAATGTTGACTATACAACAGCAAGTTGTTTCTATGAGTTAGACAAAGGTTGAATGGCCCAAAAAATTTTAGGATGCCAAACCATTTTCCATTTTGGCTACTTCTTTTCTATAAATGTATTTAAATAACGAATAAAAAATGAATTATATGGCGCAGCTCTTTTGGTAGAGGAAGACTCATTCAGATTCTAGGAACTTACTTTTCCACCAGCAGACTTGACAATGGCTGCTAGGGTACGAACTGGGGGTTGAAGATGAGCTGCAAAGCATATGTTATAACCTTTAAGCAAAGCTTGGGGACTTTCTCTTGCTCTCAGAACTGCAGCCTTTAACTCAATTCTGTACCTTGACTCATAGTCATCATCTTTCAAAAGAAAAGGCATTTCATCTGTAAAGAAGAAAACCCACAATACTGTCATACAAACACATTAAAGTACTCAAGTAAGCATCAGAAATAAAAGCTACATGGAGCTTGTGACTCACCCACAAATCCGCCTTCCCGGAAGCTTTCTTTTAGCCAATTGGGAGAGATTATCCAAGCTCTGTGTTACAAAACAAATAGAACGTCCCAAGTCAAACCAATTTCAAGCATACAGAATGACAAGCTGGAGCACATTCAATCAAATAACTACAAAAGCAACATGACTGAAAGTCTATCAATTATGCTACATTTGTTTTGGCATAAAACATTTTCTAGAAAATGTCTTGTAGAGAAAAAAAATTTCCTCTTGTTTGGTTGCACCCTTGACACTAACGTAGTAATGGTTTTATTAGTGGTAGTGGCAGTAGGCTGGAGGTGGAGAAGCTGGCCTTTGTGGTGGCGGCAGCAGCGGTGACATTGGTAGTTGTGGCATTAGTATGACTTTAGTCTAGAAAATGTTGTGTCTTTCACAGGTTGAAAAAATTTTCTGCTCAAATAAGTCTGTTTTCCATTGGCTATGAAAAATGTTTTTCATTGACTTCTATTTTCTGTTGTTGTTGGCACATAAATTTCAACCAAATTTATGTTAAAATTTCAAATATGGTCAATCAGTCAATGACATGTATAGAGCCTATGATAGGAATGTTGTAGGTAATTACTTCCTGAAAAGATCAATATGACTCGTTGAAATGCATAAATAAAACGTCGTATCTCAAGACGTTATTTAAAATACTCAAATGACACGTGGAGCTTACAAAAGATGACACATGTAGAGCCCATAATAAAGACAACACACAAGATAAAACCCCAAAGATCAATCCGGTTAATAAGCTATATAATTAATCATATAACGCTATCATTCAAAATTTAAATGGCGCTATCATTCAATTTGAAATTCAAATTGAGGATGAGGCACTCTTATCACTTGGATGGCCATCTATAAATATGAGGACCATCACACAAGAGAGGGGATCAGAAAAATCAGAAGTAAGAAGATCAGAGAGAGAGAGAGAAGAAATCAAGAACTAAAAAAGTCGTTACAAAAAAAGAAGAAAAGAAATCCAGAGAACTCAAAAGCCTACTCTACAAACGCAGAATAGCGATGAATAGGCAAAAGGTTTCAAACCCAAAAATTGTACTTTGTATTCAAGGGTTCAAAACCCATAACAATTTCAATAAAATATTTATTTTTTCTTAAATTGTCTTTGGTTATTTATTTTGTTCTTCATTAATCGAAGGTTTCATTTATATAAAATGTGTAATTAACGACCTAGAATATAGATCGGAAATAGGAACTTGCTATTCAAATAATCAACATTGTTTAGTTCAAAAACTAAACAAATGACATTTGTAACATAAAATTTTGAAATGTGTTGAAACATTTTATGTTTCAAAATTTGTGTCTATAGTTGTACCAAACGCCAAAAAATGCAGACAAGAAAATGTTTGAAGGGCTCCAGCAGCTGCAACAGGATTTGAAATAGGAATTGTTTGTGATTTTGAGCCTGTTTTCTCCTTGAACCCTCTTAATTGAGACAGGAGATCCAATGTTTGAAGTGGGAATCCATTTGATTCCATCATAGATATTGGGATCACTTAAAAAGTATTCCTTTTTTTCCCACTCATTTCTATCTAATATATTTTTTCAAATCTATTTTTTTCTGGCTTCCCAAACAAACAGAGCATTACAGTACAGAGCAACATATACCCAAATTTGCAGCAGCAATCTCATTTACCAGTAGCCCTGCGATCTCATTTGCTATCTACCTAGCGTAAAAGTATCTTAAGAATAGAAATGAGTAAACTATCACATCATGGAAGCATGGAACTTCAAAATTATTCTGGACTTGGTAAATATTTAAGTGAAGAACACCAAGTCACTTAAAGTACATCATATCTCCATGAGTAGCATAGGGTCTGATAAGAATTACGAATCAGGGAATTTAAGGAGCAATAATCATATATCAACTTTTCTTCTCTTGCTTGCTCGCTCGCTTGCTCATTAATTAACATGATTATTTAAAAGCACAAAGGATGCTTCATGTAAATTACAAATTTGCATTCCATACTCTGCATCATTCTTCCCATGTTTAACAAGTTATACAATATTTTCTCATAAACTAAACATTTGATTTGATATTATAGTTGCATTCAAGATTTATATGATTTATGATTACAAAATTTAAAACCTAGGCACACTTACAGGAGTACCCAAGTCCACGGTACAAGCAGATAAGGTGTTAGTACTACCTTAAAGCAAAGCTTCACTTCTACACTGCAAAATATCCCAATTTTCAAGTCCCAAATAGTTGGTGTTAACTATGCAATACTTCTTCAATCACTCAGTTTTATCTTCTACTACAATGGAACCAGTCCCATCTGGCAAAAAGTTGATTAGTCATAAGTGGAAAGAATTTTTTCAGTAACTTTAATTATGCCTGTTACAGATATTCTTTCCCAAAACGCATTATTTGGTTCTTTTTTTCCCCCTTCAAGAGTTATCGTATAGGATTTCGGAATCATATTTTAACTAACAATCTTTTCTTGCATTACTACTCATCCATCTGGGCATCCCCTCTTTTGGCTATGTTCATATTATAACCTATTTGTTTCTAAGTTATGCAGCAGTCAAGCATAAAGCATGTCTGACCTTAAAGCTGTCATATAATTTTTTTTGATTAGTCATCATATAATTTTTTTTTAATCAGATATCATATAAGTCTTTTTGTTTCCAAATATCATTCAAAACATGCCAAATGCACTTCTTCCATGAACAATATCCCGTCCAACATGCCCCTACAATTACTGTAATTGAATCTCCAAAACATTTACTGTGCTATCCCTAATGAATGCTATTTTCAACAGACAACTTTTCAGGAAATTACAATTCGGTGGTAGTTTCATGAAATAATTACAGATTCATAGCAAATTTAAAACATTAGTTATTAATGTTTGTAAAGTTTACCATTAATCTGAAGAAAAAAAATAAAAAAACATACACTGAATTGAATTGATATTTCCTCAAAAAATGTAAGTTCCCGAAAAATGATATTTCCAAAAAATGTTTTTTCTATGTTTGGTTGCATCCTTAAAACTAATGTACTAGTAATTGTATTAGTGATGGCGGAGTGGTGCTGGTTGTGGCGGCAGGATGGAGGTGGTGGTGGGGTAATGATGGCAGTGGCAGTGGTGCTGGCAGCATGGTGGAGGTGGTGGGTTGGTGGTTGTGGTGAGAGGGGCCTAGGTATCGCTACATAGGCTTATAGTATAGGGCAGTGGGGCTGGTGGGAATGGTGGTAGTGAGGTGGTGGTGTGGCGGTGGTGGTGGTGCGGCTATAATGGTGGTGCAATGGCAATAGCCATGGTAATGCGGTGACATTAATAAGATTTTAGTTTGGAAAATGTTTTCCACCTTTCAGAAGTGAAACATGTTTTTCACCCAAATAAATTTGTATTTGTTTTCCATTGAACCAGAAGCAAAAAAAAATGCAAAAAACATTTTTCCTAAACAAACAGAGCATAAGAATCTAGAATCAACTCCAAATTTTATACTTATTGCTATTCATGGATTTGTTTCTAGAGTAAACAAGAGCTAGCCATACATTTGTCCATCTTAAACACTAACTATTTACATTAATTATGTATGAAGGATGTTACAATACATCATGCAGATATACGTGCACATATATATTGAGAAAGTCATATGATAATAAAAGATGGTGATTTTGACAAAAGAATTGTAAGAAAAGAGGAAAAGAAAAGAAAAGCAATATTCAGATTAAATAAAGTCAGATTGGAGCTCAAACCTGTGTGCATTAAATATTCAGCTAGAAAAATATATAATAAACAGTAGACTTCAGACATTAAAATACAAAACATCGTAGCAGTGGCGTAAATTTTTAAGAATCTAAAATACTGACCCTGAACAAAGAGCAGCGCAGAAATTCAAAGTTTTCCTGGCTTTTCCAGTGACTACATGTGTGCTTAGACTTCCAACAGAAGTGACAGCCCCACCAAGGTTTTCAATAATCTATGTTCACAACATTAAAGCAGTAGTACGAAGGATCAAAAGAATAATTCATAATACGAAAAATGAAATAAAATCACCATAGATGACTGGGTGGTAAGCAAACAACAAAATAAGGATACTACTAATATCTATAATCCCATCTGATGCATAAGAATAATAAAGAAAAAAACAAAGAGCAATAACACCTATTGCAAATGCCCTGCCAGCCATTAAAGCAGTGTGAATTCCAAATTCCTTATGTACACAGATGCCATAATCACTGGACCACATTGAAGTTTGTATGCATTATTGTTAAAATATTTGAATTTTAAATTGAGAAATGGATATAGGAAACCATATTTCACACTAGATTACATGAATTCAGGAAAATAGCAGCTCTGTGCTCAGCGCTCCTGCTTTGGGTATCCTAGGTCTTGAGAATGTATCTCAAAAGACACTGCAGACTTACCTTGGATTATGCATTATTTAATCACTGGACCACATTGAAGTTTGTATGCATTATTGTTAAAATATTTGAATTTTAAATTGAGAAATGGCTATAGGAAACCATATTTCACACTAGATTACATGAATTCAGGAAAATAGCAGCTCTGTGCTCAGCTCTCCTGCTTTGGGTATCCTAGGTCTTGACAATGTATCTCAAAAGACACTGCAGACTTACCTTGGATTACGCATTATTTAAACCTTTCTGGGCATGCTGTCACCACTTACAACAAAAAGTGGTGTCAGAAAAAACTAAATCTGGAGTTTTAAGATAATTTAAAAAGGAATGGCCTCGAAGATCTCATTTCATCATGAAGAAGGATGTGAAAACATAATGAGAAGGTTCTCTATAGTATCTCAAACAGCAAACTTGGAAGTAATTGGACTTCCTAGTGGTAGGTTCTCCTAGAACAGTGGGATCCCAGGGAATTTGTCCATGGAATGCATGACCTCAGTGAAGATAAAATTAAAATGGGTAAGGGTACGTTTCATTAAAGTTTAATTTCATAATAATCTGAAAGAGGTCATACAAGGCCTACCAGGTCAGAAGCAACTTGGGAGAACTTAGCAATTAATAAAGAAATGACGGCCTTTTGCATACTTAGTTAAAGTGAAGAACATATCAACAAACTTATTAATTGGATTAGATTAAGGCCTACTAAAAGAATGGAAAATTTTGAGCCACTAGCATTAATTCGCTTGTCAAAACAAGCAGCAAAAAAGGTTAAAAATTGGGAGTTACTCTTTAAGCAGAATTTAAAGGGTTGTTTTGGGAACTATGGCTTTTTGACTTCTTTTTTTTTTTTTTTTTTTTTTTTTTTTTAAAAAAGTGCAGAAAAGTGGAGAAAAGAGTTGATTTTTGGGTAGTGACTTTTTGACTTTTTGGCTAGAATAGCCTATTGCCAAACTTGAATCTTTTAAGAGATCATAACAAAAGTTAATGGCTAACTGTTGCTATTCCTTATTTATTAGTAACAGTGTTTTGAAATAGACAGAATGTAGCTTCCAAGGCCTCCATATCCTACAAGAAGTAAAATCTAAAAACCCAATCCTGAAAAATGCTTTAAGTTGCAGTTTATTTTAATGTAATATACCAGAAATAAGATGGTAAAGGCAACAATGGGTGATTCATCCAAGTTCTTCAAATTTTTTGTTTAAACCATAATCTCAACAGCATGAAATTGTACTATTTGCTAACACTTCTAGAAAATGTCAATCCATAGATGCTGGGACATCCATTTTTTATCCACACAGTAAATCAATCATAGAATTAGACATACCTTGGTGAGACTCGATTTTTTAGCATTGTCAGCAATATTCATCAGCATGATCCTAAAGCTTTCTCCTTTTGCCAGCAGTTCCATGCTGTCATGATCTTCTGATATGATATTAACTGGTTGACATTCTTCATTTGTCTTTTCCAAATAAGTACTGCTCAAGGGATCTCTGGGAGTTACATCAACCAAAGATTTATTTTTGGAAATTCCTGAGGAGCATCCATGAAAAGAAGAATCATTTGTTCCATCACTTTCCGGAACAAAATCCCTAGAATCCAATTGACAGTCCACTTGATGACATCCCTTTACTTTTTTTGATTTCAGTGAGGTATATGAGGCTTCCCAGACCCTCTTCTTTTCACCACGTGAGGAACAAGAGCAATGCATAAGTGAGGAACAAGAGCAACGCTTCGCATCAGCATCCTCTCTAATTAAGGTTACTCCTAAATCATTAGCCATGTTGCTGCAGTCCATGCTCTCAAAATGAATCAGGCCTTGTTCACCTTGAATTTAAATGAAATATGATAAGAAACTGCTGATAAAATTAAGATTGTAACAGTTGCACTGTACCAATACAACAAGACATGCTTGAAGAAAATATTTTAGTAAAGAAAAGCTACAACACAGAAAAAACATTAGAACGGTTCAAATTGACCACATTAGAAGCAGGTTCAACTAGAACACGGATAATATCCTCAATGTGGTCATGTCAAAACTTAAGACCATATTTACTTATTTAGGTGATGGCTGATAATGATTCTCGTTTAAGAAATGGATTTATGCAATTTTAATGCAAAGAAAATAAATTAATTGTTTTTGTGTCTTACTTCACTTTGGTGCTCAAATGATCTGTACATAATTCTTCATATTAAGAAATCAGTGGGAAAATATAAGCAAAAGAAATAACAAGATTATACCTACCATCCATTTGAAATCCACGGTTCACCAATGATTGAGGACAAGAGTATTCAGTCAAGGCCGTCATTAGATTTACCACATCTAGAGGATCATGACTCTCTTCAATACCTTCTAGCCCATTTTGAACAATAGCAGATGGCAAAGACTTATCGGGAGGCTTTAATGAAGTACAAAGCTTTGGAGGCTCTTCAGGGTTAGCTGAGCTGTCTTTGTTAAGATGAGAAACCATGAGGGTTGACCCACCAGGAAAGCATAATGCTCTACGAATGCCGGCCTTGATAGGCAGCCTGCGAGCTCTACCCTTGGTGTCAACCTCCCCTATTGACACAAAACCCTGCATTTGAAATCCAACTTTAAAAATGTCAAATACCAAAAACAACCAAAAAAAAAAAAAACAATACTTATTTAGATGAAAAAGGATCATGTTCCTAAATCCAAAGAGGTGTCCAACTTGTACTAACAACATGCTACGTTTTGTCAATATATTATCTCAACCAATTTGTCCTCGTTGGTTTTTATGCAAAGGCATAATGTTACTGAAAGAAAATGAAAAATAATGTACTTGTAAGTGTAACTTGCAAGAGGGCTTATCCATTAAATTAAAAACTAGTTGCGCACTAATGTTTTGACAATCACCATACGTACAACATACCTGTTTAAGCCAAAATCGTTCAGATTCCTTGTCCCCCCAACAAAATATAGTGTGAATACCAACACTTTGTAATCTCTTTCTCAGTTCTGTGTACAGGAGGCTACCAATCCCCTGAAAGTTACTAATCATGTCAATTGACTGTAATAGTGGTACCACTGTATGAGCAAAATAAAGTTAATAGCAAGAAATTATGCCAAAAACAAAGTTCAATGACAGGTATTGCAAACGCAACCTAATATTAGCCAGATCATTACTTGCTCTTGAAAAATAAGTAACATTGATGTAGTAAATTCAACAATTCAGTTAGAATCTAAATCAATTGCACCTTGCAAAGAATGAAGAAAACTGTAATAATGGCCCCAATTGGCAAAACTTGGGCTTTCAAGATTATAGTTTTTTAGATTATTGACTTAAAATGATTTGAGTAAGTTATAGAAGTGTTTGTTGCAACTTTTTAGATAACATGTGCAAAGGTTAAAACGGTTGCCAATTAACGAAAAAACAGCATTTTGAAGTGTGAAGTCCAAAAAGGCCATAGATTTTTTTAACCCTAACTATTTTTTAAAGGGCCACACCCATAATTATTAAAATACTGAGGGGCCTATTTGTCCAATGCCCAAAAGCTAAAAAAGTAAGCTGGAAAAGCACCCCCTGGGTAGCTTAAAAAAAAGCTAGTGTTTTGCTAAAAATAAGTCAATTAAGCTATATAAGTTGAATGCTACAAGCTTTGTCAAACACCTTCCACCAGCTTTTTGTAAGCTATAATTCAAATAATTCGACTTCAAAAGTTTGACAAATGGCAAAGTTAAGCTGAGACACACTGTTCCCTCTTTTGACACTATAATTATCTTACCTAATTTAGCATTTCTTTATAAAGTATGTGCAATAATTTCCCCATTATTTGATAAACAAAAAACAAATTATTTTGGCCTTAAATAGCAACTCATGTTAAGTTCTGCCATTAGAAGCCAAAATGAGTATCAACATTTATCAGAATTTAGAATACAGGTATAGTCATCAATATAACTATAGCACACCACATCAATAAACATTATGCACAAAGACAGACCAGGAAACTACGTTGAATGGAACAAGAAATGAAACATTGCAGAACCTTCCATTGGTAGACTGAACGAACAGCAGCAAGGGGAACCTCAGCATATTGTGTATCAGCGGGGATTATTTGATAAGTAATTGCAGCAACAACCTGTGGTGTTGAAAACATAACTAGCTCATTAATAAAAGATGGCTGGAGCCTGGATGTATTGGTAGATAGACGGTTAAAGCAATAGAAGAATTCCATTTCATGCTTTTTTTCTCTTTCTAGGTAAAGTAGTTGTACTGTTAGAAAAAATGAAACACATAATAGAGCTCATATACAAAAAAAAAAAAAAAAAAAAAAAAAAAAAAAAAAAAAAAGACAACAACTTGCCCTTTGAAAAGGCATCTTATCCAAAGAAGAGAAGGCATCTCTCTCTGTGAGCAATCATAAATACAGCCTATGAAGCACGGATACTTCAAATAAGGTGACGTATCCGTATCGGATACTGATACTCCTTGAATACTCGTGAATACGTATCGGATACTTATTAAAAGTATCAGATACTTCTTAATTATTTTTTCATTAATTTTAGAGTATCGAATACTTAGAGGTTGCTTGGGGTATCCTAAATAAGTGCACTTTTTGTCTTTTTAGACTAAGACCAAGTTTGGAAACTTGTAAAAAAGCCAAAAAGTCAAAAAGTTACTCAAAAAGTTAAAAAGTTAATACTATTCACCAAAAGTCAACAATTACGGCTGCACAACTCCCAATTCAAATTTTTCTCTACAAATCAATTTTTACAATTTTTTATTACACATTTTTTCATAAAAAGTCAAAAAGTTAACCCAAACATCCATATTTTCAACCTCAATTTTTTAGTCCAAAAAGACAAAAAGTGCACTTATTTAGGGCATCCCAAACAACCAAAATGTTGAGGAAAAAAATATGAATGTTTGAGTTAACTTTTTGACTTTTTATGAAAAAATGTGTATTAAAATATTGTATAATTAAGTGTGTAGGAGAAGATGATTAATTAATCTGTACGGTTGGGCAGTGCGTCGGCTGAAAAGGATATGGGAAAAGATTGCCTACTTTTTGGCCTTTGATTGGACAGTGTTGTTCGGCCCGTGGGGGCCCACCACGAGTTCCGTTTTTCTAATCGGAACCGTTCATTGTGTAGAACTCGTCGAGTACTATATTTTTGAAAAAAATCACGTTCATTGGATATCGATAGCTATCTGATCGTGTTAATTTTTTTGGTCACATGTTAACTATAACACCATCCATTTTTTATACAAAATTGATTTGATCATGTAATTAGCGATATCCGATAAATGTGATTTTGTACAAGCATATAGTACTCGACAAGTTCTACATATTGAACGGTTCCGATTAGAAAAACGCAACCCGTTGTGGACCCCCATGGGCCCAACTTTACCATCCAATTTAAGAATATACACATGTAATATATTTTTTTTTTCCTTTTACTCTTATGCTTTGATGTCTGTACATAGGTTGCTGTGCGTCGGCTGATTTGTATTTAACATTATATATATTAATTTTTTTTATATTTTTTTTTGTAAATAGTGATAACTTTTTAACTTTTAAAGTAATTTTTTAACTTTGTCTTTTTGAGAGTTGCCAAACTTAGTCTTAATTTTAAAGTATCGGATACTCCAAGTCATGTTTACTTGTTTTATGAAATTAGAATTGTAACATTTCTAACATAATAACATAATATAATATAATATAATATAATTGCAAGTATAAATATAAGAATATTTTTCTAATACTTTATTAAGTTCTTCAATAAGAAGAGCATAGTGAGTTAAATAATAGAATTTATCAAAATGATGTATCCTAATTATTTCATGCATGTCCCCTATAACTACATAGGAAGTAAGAATTAACAAGAGAATATAACAATAATAAAATTATATATCAATAAATAAATAAACAAATAAACTTGAATATAATATTTTTCACTGGTGTCAAAGGAAAAAGCATAGGGACAAGTTGTGAATTGCCCTATTATTGTAATATAAGTATATTAAACTTGATATTGAAATGAAATATTTGCAAGACCTATTAAAAATTTAAAAAGTAAACAAGCTACTAGCTTAAATTAATACAAAATTCTTAAAGGTTAGTACTTTACATTATAAAATTACATTGTGATTTCTCAACGTTCTTTAGCTTATTTGTAACTCACTATTAATAATTTTAAAATATATATTTTTCACAAACGTATCTTAACCGTACCGGTATCCTATTTTTTTACATTTTGTAGTATCCCTGTATCCGTATCGTGTCGTATCCATATCTATGCTTCCTAGAATGCAGCACACATCCAATGTATGTTGATTGCAGAAAACATAGGGATTTTGTGCTCATTAAAATAACCGATATGTGAAATGTATAAATATATAACATTCTAAGACATTAAGGACTTACACACACATTGTGTGCACCGAGAGACTATAAAGTAAAATAGAAACACAGACAAAACTGGAGAGAAATTTTTATTCCCATATCCTACTAGCATAGGGACCGGTAATTAGACTTCATTCAACCATAGCAATCATACCTCTCCAGAACCTTCCTTAGACTTGGACTTCACAAGTAACGTGCAATATTTCCTGTGTAAAGAAACTATGAGAAACCTTTTAATGACCATTAGTAGCCTGTTCTCGTAATTACTAGCTCAATTGATAAGGAAGAATTTACTTGTACTGTTGTAAATGTTACCATATTAACTTCTAAGAATTCAGGGGACATTTGCGATGATACTTATAGTGAGATTTACAGAGTTTACAAGTGAAGAGAAAGAATAATAATATCAGAGTGAGTGACATCCTTACCCGTTTGATACGCATCTTTCAAGGAACATTGATTGCTTTCCAGTATTCGCAGCATAATTCATTGCAGGTAGCTCTTTCATGTATATGTTCAGTACTTCCTGCAGCCCCATAAACACTTAATATTAAACCCGCATAACTGTTAAAGAGAAACATATCAGTAAATATTTACAATAATAAATAAGTATAGCAAAATAAAGAAACCAAAAAGGGCTACTAGCAACTTCCCAAATAATAAGAAGATTCTTGTGCAACACACTTCACACAATCATTTAAACCTTCAGAAAACATGCACTGTAGTCTCTAATAGGTCTTGCTATATGGAGCAAATATGCCCTATAGCCTCTAGTAGAATCAGTACAAATAATATGCTGTGGATAATCATCTTTAATACAGTTGTTGCTCCACTAACACATACCTGAGCACTTTCAGAATAACTGAATCAGACTTTTCTGACAAACAACGCCTTGTAGCATATGCCCATTACCCACTGTATGTTAGCCTTACAGTTATCTAAAATACCATTGTTTCTTCCACTATGAAGGATCTAAAATACCATTCCATTTGCTTTTTATAAAAAAAAATTACTTTTTCAAGTTTTTCATGCTAAAGACATTCCAAGCTTCAAAATTGACATTCCGGCACGCACACACACACACACATACACATATATATGTATGAATGAGAGAGAATTACCTGAATCAGAGACTTGGTTTGGCCATCTACATCTTTGGGGTTAATGAGCACGAAGAGGAAATCTTCTGTTGAAGTTATCAAATTCTAAGAATTATCTCATGAAATATTATTAATGAACCATACTCAGCCAAAATCAAATTAAACTAACAAATCATTGGAATAGCTTTACCATTACCCTTGGTTCCAGAACTCTGAAGATCATCGCGGTTCTTTCCATTATTGTCCTCTACCACTGCAATAAATAGTTAAACTGAACAAATCAAACCAAAAATCCTTAATTTTTAGTACACAATGAAAAAATCAAAAATAACAAAACAACCAAAACTTTGTTTGGCACCAAAGAAAACAAGGAAAAATAAGAGAACCTGAGATTACAATCAAATGTATTCTGGGCTCATTTAGAATATATATATATACACACATTTGAGGTTCAAAAATTTGAGATTCCCAATTTGAAAAGTATTTAATTGTTGTCGAAATGAAAGTACCTGAGATTTTGATTTGTGCGTTTTTGGAGAGACATATTTGGAGGGTGTTTGGGTCCGATTTGGAGGTGAAGTTCTTGGCATCGACAAGGACCTCGCAGTTTCCTGAGAAAAGTAGGGATAGAAATGGGGGTGATGTGGTATTGATGTTTTAGGGTTAAGAGAAATTAGGGTTTACTTACCGATTGATATGGGTGTGGAAATTGAAGACTTCTTTTTTGGCGCCATAGTATTAGCTTAAGCTTTGAAAATGAGAGTGTGAGAGAGAGGGAACAAAGGCAAACTGCTATTTATACATGTGGGCGGGAAACAGGTGTGTTCGTAAATTTGATTACGTATTTCCGTCAACTCCTCAAACTTGTTTGAGAATTCTCGGGAAATTATACTTGCACAACATATTTTGAGTGCTGCGAAATGCCCCCACTTTTTTACTTTGGACATCCTGCCTATTTATTTTTTTTTTAAGAATTGTTTAAGATGATCTAAATAAGTGTATTTGTTATCTTTTTACGAAAAGATATACAGAAAAGTAGAGAAGTAATGTGATGAAAAAAAATAAAAATATGGATTATTTTCAACTTCCCAAACTTGGCCTTAATTGCAACTATGACCTCGTTTGTTTTGAAGGATAACTCATGGGATTGGACTATTAATCCACAAGGATTAATAGTCCGTTGTTTGGTATGGATTTTTTGGTCCGGATTAATAATCCCTCCGGACTATTAATCCGGAATTCACTGGCTTATTGTATCCCTGGGGGGCCTGGGACAGAATCTATGGGATAATGTATCCCATGGGATTGGCTAACTTTATTACATCTTTGACCCTCTCATCTTTCTTTTAGCTTTTCCCATTTTGCTTTCACTGCAGCAAATTCATACAAAGTAAAATTTTACTCTGTATGAAAGTAAAACTTTATTCTGTATGAAAGTAAAATTTTACATTCTGAAACTAAAAGTAAAATTTTACTCTTTATGAAAGTAAAATTTTACTCTGCATGAAAGTAAAATTTACATTCTGAAACTAAAAGTAAAATTTTACTCTTTATGAAAGTAAAATTTTACTCTGCATGAAAGTAAAATTTACATTCTGAAACTAAAAGTAAAATTTTACTCTTTATGAAAGTAAAATTTTACTCTGCATGAAAGTAAAATTTACATTCTGAAACTAAAAGTAAAATTTTACTCTTTATGAAAGTAAAATTTTACTCTGCATGAAAGTAAAATTTACATTCTGAAACTAAAAGTAAAATTTTACTCTTTATGAAAGTAAAATTTTACTCTGCATGAAAGTAAAATTTACATTCTGAAACTAAAAGTAAAATTTTACTCTTTATGAAAGTAAAATTTTACTCTGCATGAAAGTAAAATTTACATTCTGAAACTAAAAGTAAAATTTTACTCTTTATGAAAGTAAAATTTTACTCTGCATGAAAGTAAAATTTACATTCTGAAACTAAAAGTAAAATTTTACTCTTTATGAAAGTAAAATTTTACTCTGCATGAAAGTAAAATTTACATTCTGAAACTAAAAGTAAAATTTTACTCTTTATGAAAGTAAAATTTTACTCTGCATGAAAGTAAAATTTACATTCTGAAACTAAAAGTAAAATTTTACTCTTTATGAAAGTAAAATTTTACTCTGCATGAAAGTAAAATTTACATTCTGAAACTAAAAGTAAAATTTTACTCTTTATGAAAGTAAAATTTTACTCTGCATGAAAGTAAAATTTACATTCTGAAACTAAAAGTAAAATTTTACTCTTTATGAAAGTAAAATTTTACTCTGCATGAAAGTAAAATTTACATTCTGAAACTAAAAGTAAAATTTTACTCTTTATGAAAGTAAAATTTTACTCTGCATGAAAGTAAAATTTACATTCTGAAACTAAAAGTAAAATTTTACTCTGTATGAAAGTAAAATTTTACTCTGAATAAGAGTAAAATATTACACATAGTCCAGGGATAATGTATCCCAGGACTAACAGTCCGATGGATTACAATCCCTTCTTATCCAGTCCGTCCAAACAAACGCACCCTAAGAGGTATCCTAAATAAGTACATTTTTATCTTTTTAGACTAAAAAGTTGAGGAAAAAAATATAGATGTTTGAGTTTACTTTTTAATTTTTTATGAAAAAATGTGTATTAAAAAATTAGATAAAGAAGTGTATAGAAGAAGATTAGAAATGTGGTTTGGCAGCCGTACAATCTGTGCAATTGAGAATTGATGGTAAAAAATTATTGGCCAATATTTGGGTAATGCACTGAACGGTTTTGTTCGGCCCATGGGGCCATCACGGGTCCCATTTTGATAATCTGAACCATTCAATATGTATAACTCGTCGAGCACTATATACCTACAAAAAATCACGTTGATTGGATATCGATAGCTATCTGATCAGATTTGTTTTTTTTCAATCATTAATTATAACACCATCCATTTTTTTATACAAAACTGATTTGGTCATATAATTATCGATATCTGATCAACGTGATAGTACTCGACGATTTCTACACATTCAACAGTTCATATTATCAAAACAAGACCCATGATGGGCCCCCACGGGCCGAACAGCAGTGTGTTCAATTGTACCCAATCTGATCAGATTTGTTCGGCCACACACAGCACAGAGTAGTGATTGCTAACATCATTGAGTTGTACTTGGCTTGGAAAATTAATTTTTTAATATTTTTTTTTGTGAATAATGATAACTTTTTAACTTTTTGAGTAATTTTTTGGCTTTTTTAAGAGATGCCAAACTTGGCCTAAGTAAAATTACTTTCTAGGACAACTTAAAATTGGACACCCACCCCTACCTAAAACACCCACTCTCACCACACTCACATAGACCTTGATATTGAACACCTACCCCCCACAAAAAAACTTATCATCTGACCATAATCACAATCCATTCTCATTAAATCCATCATTGTTCATAGTGTTAGTTCTTCTTCACATATTGACAGTAACCTGGTCGATGAAGGAGGTAAGAGATAGCAACAAGTGAGCAATGGAGCATGAGAGCAACACTGTCGTCGAGGTTTGCCATGTCTTGATAAGTTTTTTTGAACAAAAATCAGGTTTTGCATAGTTGACGTGTTCGGTTCTGGATTACCGAACAAACATAGATTGTTCAGCAATAGGATCCCGAACAAAATTTATTTGTTCGATTAGTTGTTTCCAAGTGTTGAAAAATAGTTCCATTTTAATACATTTCATCCATTAACTTCCTTCAAGACCAAACCCATCATGGTGATAATGTTTGGCAACACCCTACTGGGTGTATGATTGTTGTTCGGAAAGAAGGTTCTGTGTTTTGTCACAATGTTTGATACTGGACTACCGAATAGACATTATCAGCTTCAGTACATAAAATACATGTTGATGATCGAAATTAAACCAAAAATTTGAAAATAATCTTTACATATCTTGTGAGAAGGACCACGCAACTTTAATCTCATCGGTGGGATGATGTTGTTAGTCGAAATGTAGATGTGGTAGTATATATATATATATATCTTTGGTGGGTGGAAAACTTTAATCTTGTTCAAGAGATCGTCGGTGGGTTGGAATAATGGAGTCAGTGGAGTGGGGTGGGGGGGGCAGTGGGTGTGCATGCCTTTGGAGTAGTGGTAATTGCAATGGGGATAATTTTGGTATAAAATTGGGGGTTCAAAGAAATTTTAAATAATTTGAATTTCATAGGTGGGGGTTCAAAGAAATGAGGGGTCCAAAGTAAAAAGGTAGGTACATTTAGTACCACTCTATATTTTTACATTGGCCTCGTTTGGGAAGTGGCTATTTTAGTAGGCTATTTGGCTTTTTGGCTATTTTAGTAGGCTATTTTAGTTTTTGTGTTTGGGAAGTTGAGATGAATTTTATTTGAGTTGTTGTATTGAAAAATGTGTTGAAATGATGTTTGAAATTAGAATGACAAATTTGTCCCTAAAAATATATTTTTTTAAATTGTTGTCAAGGGATAAAACCGTAATTTACCATTGATGGAACAAATTTTGTAGCTGACAGTGTAGGCACAGCCTACACTGCCGCTGTGCAGTCCTTTTTTTTTTTTTTTTTGAAAAAGCTTGCAAAAGTGGCTTTTTGGCTAAAAAATTTTTTTAGGCTATAATAGCCTCTTTAGGCAGTTCCTAAACAGCGCCATTGAATAATACTTGAGACGCCCACAATTTAGAATCCCCACAATCCCCAATTGATTTGTGGCCACTCATTTATTTATTTATTTTCTTTTTTTTTCCCCTCACTCTCTCTCCTCCCTCTCCCTCACAAAAAGTGTGGGGGTGATAGGGGTCTCCAGCACCACTATTTTACATTTTCAATGGGGGTGTTTGGGGATAGCTTTTTTGGTTAAAATATTATTAAAAAATAAAATAGGTTAAAATAATTAATAAGACAAAATATCACATCAAATTCGTAATCATTTCATTTTTTCTCTCACAAACATTACATCAAACTACAAAAAAATCTAACTATCTTCCCAAACACAAAAAATTTGGTCTCTTAAAGTAGCCAAAAACTAAAATAGCTTACTAAAATAGTAACTTCCCAAACACCCACATATTTGAGATATATTTTTGAGGCCTCATTTGGCAAGTAGTGATTTTAGCTAAAAAATCAAAAAGTCACTAAAAAAATCAAAAAATCAATAATCTATACAAAAAAAATCAAAGATTCCATTTTCTCTCTATTTTTTGCACATCGTTTCGTAAAAAATTAAAAAGTCATTACAAACATACTAGTTTTTTTTTACATTATATTTTAGCTAAAAAACCAAAAAGTTACTAAAAAAAAAATGTTCCCAAACAAGGCCTGAGTGTTTCTATTAGTTTACCTTTTTAGAGCATCTCCAACGGTTCACCAAATTTTTCACCAAATCTGAGTAAAAAAAAGACCATTTTCTCAATCTGATACAAACTGCTCCAATGGCTGTCATCAAAGCAGGGGTCGACCGGTTAGTGTATTTTTATTTTTATTTTTTTACCTCTTTGAACCTTTTAACCTGTTTGAACCAACCTATTTCCAAGGGAACCGGCCGACCGATTGGTCAACTGGCTGGTTGACTGGTTGGTTTCCCCCAACGGTCATGCACAGTAAATTGGTGAAATCTTCCCCCTATTCTCACTTTGATGAAAAATTTGGTGAATTCTCGTTTTGATACCAATTTGATGAAACCATTGGAGCTGCAAAAAGTGACTTTTTCACCAAATTTTAAATATGAGGCAAGGTTTGGTGAAGTGTTGGAGATGGTCTACCTTTCATCTTATCTATATATATAAGAGCATCTCTAATGGTTCACCAAAATTTTCACCAAATCTGAGTAAAAAAAAGACCATTTTCTCAATCTGATACAAACTGCTCCAATGGCTGTCATCAAAGCAGGGGTCGAC